CAGTATCAACATCACCGTCGCAGTATCAACATGCCAATACCATTTTTATATACCAATTTCTCTAAACGCTGCCAATACGCCATTATACGGTATAGCTGTAAGTTAGAAACACGTTCAGTAAGTGCTGTGGTCGTCCGGAACACGTCAAATACGTCTACATACGTCAATATACGTCTACGACTCTACATACGTCAATATACGTCTACATACGTCAATACGCAATGTTTACGACATTTTCGCGCATTTTCGCGCGAGATTTTTGAAAGATCATGGCTCCAAATGTTGTGGTGGAACAGGAAAATGTGTATGATTATCTTAATGGGTTGGAAACGTATAGATTTGCTGACACTTGTAGAAAGGGTCGGGAGGTGAAACGTAACAGGGTAAGGGGTTAGACTGGTACCCGTTCGCCACCTTCACTCCGGCATATATCCTTCGCTACACTTCGATATAAGGCACACATAGGTTCAAAGCACGTTACTCATAGGTTAGAAATAAGTTTTGGGTACGCTAGACATTATCTCGACGTATTTCGACTTATAAGTAACGTGTGTGAACGTGTGTGAACGATCGCATAACTTACCTACAACTTATGGCCCGCATATGGGCATACGCTGGCATACGTCGGGAAATTTTGAGCATGCTCAAAATTTTTCGACGACCTCGCCGGACTACGACGTATACCAGCGTGCTTCAGCGTGCTCTTAACTTATACAAAGCTTACAATTACCCATAACTTATTCGACGTACGCCAGCGTATTCACCAAATTTTTGATACGTCCGGCATACGCTGGCTAAATCGTCAAGGTGTGACAGGGCCGTATGATCACCGTCACCATCACGATCACAGGGCCATGATCACCATGATCACACATACACGACGCACGGCCCGCGCACTGAAAAATTAGCAATTTTGGCCAGTGCGTTGTCTTTCGCTGAGTGTGCGTCAGTATTCGTTACTCGTTTGTCGAGCGCGCTGGACCAACGCTATTCATTCGTTGTTATTCGCTGTGTGCGTCGGGATTTTTGTGCATGCACAAAAATGTGCGCGGAGCTCGACGCATGAATGTACACGCCAGAAGGACGTCAGACACACGCGCAGAGCGCGCTGGACCAACGCCAGACACACGCGGAGCACACGCAGGGTATTCGTTGTATGTTTGTCGGCTGAGGTGTAGCGAACACCTAGCGCACACCCTAGCGTGCTTCTAACGCATGTCCAGCGAACATGCAGCGAATATAGGCGTGCTGAACGATAGCTCTAGTACTATAGCCGCTTACATGAACTGCCGCTGGCCAACCAGCGGCAGTCAATGTAAGCGGGCTATAGTACTAGAGCTAGCTGAACGAGTCGTCCGAGCGCGTCCAGCGTTCTTCTAGCGTGTTCCTAGCGTGTACGCAGCGTGTAGCCATGGAGTATATGAACGGGTCCCGCCCCCACCTCCTCATCATCACTTCTCCTCCGACCCTTATGGGTGATGACAGAGGTTCCTGCTGATCGTGTCTAGAAGAACCACTTCAGAAGATGGAGGGTCCCGACAGGCTGCGACTACAATAGGTGTGGTTCTCTTCACTTTTTATGATTAAATTGCTGCATTATACTTCCTATTTTGCTATTCCGTTTGGTGTGAACAAACATTCGTGACCCATACATAGCCCATAGGAAGCATTATTTTTTAATGTCATGATCAATATATCAAATCGCCCAGGTTTTTTTGGATTTTCAACTAGTTGAGAAACAATCTTATCAGTTTGAGGATACATTTAGTCTCGTTAGTAGGCCCCTACTTACTTTTCATGTAAAAAATTGCAACAATTCTTTTTACAAATATACGCCATAGAAAATTCGTGAGCGTATATAGTCAATTTAACAGGTCAGTCTCAATTTGTATAAATTGATTTATTCTCGATTTATGTGAAAAATAATAGTTTTACGGCTATTTTAGAATTTTTTTTTTTTCTGACGACGGACCTCGTGGTTATATAGCAGGCAGTTCCTTCGCCCATACCAATGTTGATGCTAGACCACACCAGTATCGTCGTCACCAGTAGACACCAGTAGTCACCAGTAGACACCACGTCTATACACTGCGGCTGAATCTGGACTAATTCCAAAACTCCTACCCTGAATCTGGCCCGCCGTCATGCAAAAATGATTTATAGCTACGCCCCTGACATCAGCGTGTCTGCTCAGCCAACCATGCCGGTTTCAATATAAAGCACGGACGATCTGAAGGTGCAGTCGTTAAACTTGATATCACAGTTGAGTATTTTAGACGAAACATTGAAACGTTACTTTCTACGCGATAACAACGTATGTATGCACAAATTAATATATATCTCTGTATATATAAATGTATATATTTCCATATTTTAATTGAAATTGTGAATTTCAAACTTTGGATCTACGGTGCGACTATCATGATTTGATTGTATCAAAATATTCCTATTGAATAAAGTGGTACGCTATATCTACGAGCCACTGTGATACTTGTACAATTTTATTGCAAAGTGTAAGAAAACATTTGCGTAATCTTTATTTGTGTGTAACAGGATGACGCACAGGATAGCGCTTCGTAACTTGGGAATTCAACTGTTGCTACTTTTCATGATTTCCATACAGACAGGTGAGTTATTGTCTGCAGACTTATATACTTATATTTTACGAATATCTAGTGTAAATGCCAAAAAGCTGCTATGTTAACACAATTTATTAGCGTAATACGTGTATTCATGTAATACAAACATAGTTTGCTTACACTGGCTGGTTGGAAAGGCTGCTTTATTTGCATATTAATTATGTGATATTAAAAAACTAATTTGCGTGTGTGGGAAAGATATCTATCAGAAGAATTGCTTTGAATTCATGCCCTACTCCTATAAAAATCCGCATTCATGTCAGCAGGAGTGAATAATAATATATATATTATGATATTATTATTCACTCCTGATGTCAGCACACTCACCAGATCACGCGCATGGTCGGTCATCGCTGAATTCGCCCTCTATATGTGCAGTATAGTTGCAGAGCCGGCTCGTTGTGGTTATATGGGCCCTAGGTAAGCAATATATAGGTCTCCACAAGCGTGGTCCAAAAAGGGCCCACTTCGCAGCGAGTTTTAATTTGTAGGCTACTTTACATGCCATTTTCTGCAGTCTGTAGCATTAAAATATGAATAAGTAACAAAGCGCCGTAGCGGCCGTCTAGTTCGCACATAACATGGACCAGTACTTAGTAGTTTATCTCGCTAAGAGTCGCTAATTCTCGATATGTTGTGTTGGTCGTCCTTCCTGCGAATACACGAATATAACGAATGCGGTATGCTCATGTTGAACACGGTGTGGAACGATCGCGATTAGCCCACGCATTATATATATATATATTATATCAGGAGTTAATAAAGACAAAATGTCTTTAAAAAAATGTTTTTTTAAGAATTTGTCTTTATTAACTCTTGATAATATGTAAATATATATGATACGTATCTATGTTATATTATATCGTAAATTTGCCTCATATTTGTCTTTGTATCAGGCAATGGACAAAATAACGGTAACGGTAATCAGGGCCCTCCTGGCCCGCCTGGCCCGACAGGAGCAACAGGTCCTGCGGGAACGCCAGGAACTCCAGGAACGAATGGCGCTACAGGTCAGCCAGGACAACAGGGTACACCAGGCGCAGCTGGAGCTGCAGGTCCACCCGGTCCTCAGGGTGCACCAGGAGCGTCGATAACCGGCCCCCCGGGACCAACCGGAGCAACTGGACAAACTGGACCACCCGGACCAACTGGATCAACTGGACCAACCGGAGCAACTGGATCAACTGGACCACCTGGACCAACTGGGCCACCGGGTACCGACGGAACTCCGGGCATTCCAGGCTGGAACGGAGCACCTGGACGGAGAGGCCATCCGGGCATATGTTATAAACACTGTGTCGGTAAGATATAGAGCTACGTATAGAACTCCTACAATAAATTGCTAGGGTGACTATATGAATAAATGAATGGGTGGGGTGATGAATGGATGGATGGATGGATGGATAGTCCATCCATCCATCTATCCATCTATCCATTTGGATGGATGGATGGATGGATGGATGGATGGATGGATGGATGGATAGATGGATGGATGGATGGATGGATGGATGGATGGACGGACGGACGGACGGACGGACGGACGAAAGGATGGACGGATTGATTGATTGGTTGGTTAATTGGATTGGGTGGATGGATGGATGGATGGATGGATGGATGGATGGATGGATGGATGGATGGATGGATGGATTGACGGACGGACGGACGGATGGATGGATAGATACAAGTACGCAGAATGTCTATCACGAATCAGTCGAGTGTTTTACAGCTTGACGTTGATTGCTGCTGAGATACGACGACGTCGGAGTATCGCGTAACGCAAGCAGCGATCCCCGAAATCCGCACAGCACGCTGCTGCGCATGCGCGCGTGCAGGGATGAGGATGCGGTCACGCTGGAATTATTCCTCCCTTATGAATCGGAGCTCAAATGGCGAGCTCTCAGCAAGAGAGTCAAGAGATTCGAGGACGTAGCGGGAGTGTAGAGCGACCTTGCGGCTACGCCAACAACCTTATTTACTCCATTAGTTATCCTAATATTGAGAGTAAGAGCGCACGGCAACTCCCTTCCTTCCTTACACAGTGTCTGACCGCTCGCCGACCTTCTCCCGCTTCTTTTCTGTCCGTGCTAAAGGCATCCCCCTTCTCCCTTCCACCGTCTCCGGCTGCTCAACGACTCTCCTCCTTCTCCCTGTGTCATCCCTCTCTGTGCTGTGAGCGCTTCTCCCCTTACCCTCTCTCCTCCGCTCCCCTCGCCTTCCCTCCTCTCACCCCTTCCTCTTCCCTCCCTTCTCCCTCCCCTCCCCTCCCCCTCCTCCCCTCCTCCCCCTCCCCCTCCCCCTCCTCCCCTCCTCCCTCCTCCCCTCCCTCCCTCCCCTCGCCCCCCTTCCGTGCTATATGACGGGTATAATCACCGTGATCCAAG